ATAGGGTCTTATATTTATTTTTCCTCAGGAAGACACCCTTGGGCTTATTTTCAGGGAATGTGTTATTCTTTTTAAGTACAGTACAACAATCTACATTTATTCAAATATAGTTAAGTCGTCTTCTTCTGGAACATCATCATAACTGTCCAAACCCCGAATTCCATCCTGAATTTCTTGCGACTCTATTTCCTTTAGAACCATTGGCTGGGACCTGACAGGGGGAGCCGATCTTGTTGGTGCGGCTGCCTGCACCTTTCCAGTCACCTCTGGGATAGTAGCTGTCACGATGGGGCAGATGAGAAGGGCTGCTCGTCTTCTTTACTGCTCCATGACGAAATGCATAGGTTGTACTGCATAGCCATGTCCATCGCTAGGTCTTATTTTTGGGGTAGGGCTTATATTGTGCAAATGCTTAGAAATCTTACTAGGGCTTATTTTATGGGTAGTTCTTATTTTCGGGGAAATACGGTAAGTTTGTCTGCTCATTTATTTTTTTCACTTTCTTCTAAAATCTGTCTTTTTTGTAGAGACACTCTGGCTGGCGGTTTTTCTCATCTGCCATCTTGTCGGCTCTACCCACCGTCAGAGAAAACTTATTTCTTAATTTAAGTTAAAATTGGGTTTCTGACATTTGCAATGAAAAGATTCAACTAATATAGTCTTTCTCAAGAGTCTACACTCTTGGACTTTCAACCTCAATATGTGGGCTTACCAGCTGTGGTTTGGTGCTAAGGGACTTCTTTCTTTCTTTGACCATCAGGTAGGAGGTGAAGAAAGAAGTCTAGGTGTATAGATGATGTTCAAAATCTTTTCTTGAAATGAAGTGAATTGAAAAAGTGACTCTGGTCTTATTTCAGAGGTACAATTGGGAAACGTGATCTTCACATCCTAATGATCACTTTGAATGTATTTTACCTTTAAAACATTAGGGCAGGAGTGGGGAACTGTTTCATGTTGGAAGGCTGCATTGATTTAGCTGTAATCAAATAAGGCCACGTTCAAGAACCTTAAATTATACATACTTAAAATGTACATTATTTTATAAAAATATAATTATTATGTACTAAATAATTTCAAAAAATGAAAACTATTTGTCAAATTTAGAGTTAGGTAACCTTTTAATGACTTTGCTGTGTCTGCGTTTTGTTGGAAAGCACTTGAATATTTGCTTGCAGCATGGAGGGCTGCAGTTCCAGCTGATCCTGTAGACGGTACAAGTCATTTGCGACCTTAAGGGCATCTTTATTTGAGTTAGGTAGGAGAATGTAGATTCACAGCAATAAGTGATTGAAAAGCAAGAAAGCATTTTGGGGGCATGTTGCCAAAGATGCAGGTATTTCACTTCATTTTTCCAGATTTAAATTGGATCTTTCTTAGAATCAAACAATGACTTTAAAATGTCATCTACTGGGAGCTTAATCAATTCCATCTGTAGTTCTTTAGGTGCCTTGGTGATACAAGCTAGGCGAGGCTGAAAAGCTAATTCGAGTGTGATGTCATGAATCTCAAAATCAGTGAATCTTTCATTGTATTTTCCAATTAATAGGTCTATAACGGTTGCCTCTTCTTCGAATGATTTGCATATATCATCCTGCTCATCAATGACCTTTGCAAACTGAAGAAAATGTTCATCTGAAATTTCCTTTTGAAGAAGTGTTTTGAAAAAAGATAGCTTTGTTTCAAAATGCTTGGCTTTTTGCCACATGTCATTATATTATATTATTTATGTATAGACTTAGCTTTACCTTGCAAAGAAATATTCAAGTTGTTTTGGTTTGACATGATATAACATAGAAATGCTGTATTCCTATAGAAATCTTCTTTCAATAATTTACATTTCTAATTCTGTTCTTCATAAAATTTAACTGTCTGTTATCACAGAGATAAAATTTTGGCTATTACCTGTTCCTGCAATAGCCAACGCATTTTAGAATGATATGGCAAATCTACACTGAATACCTCATCATTCAACTTTAGCATGTTATGAAACTGACAAGGCTGTGTTGCATTTGAACACATATAGTTAACAATAGTTATAACTTGTTGCAAAGTGTCACTTAAAATACTGTGTTTCTCCGAAAATAAGACAGGGTCTTATATTTATTTTTCCTCAAGAAGACACCCTAGGGCTTATTTTCAGGGGATGCGTTATTTTCCCCTCAAAGCCTCAGCTTGCAGCACAGGATGGCCGGGACCTGGCAGGGGGAGCCGACCTTGTTGGTGGGGCTGCCCGCACCTTTCCGGTCACCTCTGGGATAATAGCTGTCACGATGGGGCAGATGACAGCTTTTCGTCTTCTTTACTGCTCTGCGACGAAATGCATGGGTTGTGCAGATACACCGTGTAGCCATGCCCAACACTAGGTCTTATTTTCAAGGTAGGGCTTATGTTGCGCAAATGCTTAGAAATCCGCTCGGGCTTATTTTATGGGTAGGCCTTATTTTCGGGAAACAGGGTAGTAGCTTTAGCACAGAGACTTTGCTGATGCAAGATAGAATGAAAAGATATGAGAGCATCTGGATCTATTAATACTTTTTTTTTACTTGTTCTATAAACTCTTCATGTTTTACTTTCATAGAAGGTGCGCTGTGTGTACATACACTCACTAAATGTACCAAATTCAGTCCAACTTCCTAACATTTACCTTGAAAGTTGTCAAAGGTGTCTATTCCCCATGTTCTGTTCTTAAGAGTGCCCAAAGTGATGCTTTGTAGCAAAGAAAATCTTCTGTTGTGACCCGAATGAACTATAAAACCTGCCCCGAGTCAGTGGTAATTAGGTGATTCATTTAAAGCAATTGAATAATATATATTTTCCTTTTGAAGTACTACATGAAGTTGTTCTGTTACATTAAAGGCTAATTCATGCTGCCAATCAGCTATGGTTCTCCTTGAAAGAGGCAGTTGTTCGTACTTTGAAATGTTATTAGGGTCTAAGCATCCTACAACTTTGACAATGCATTCTTTCACAATTTCTACATCACTGGATGGCTTCCCTTTTTTCCTGATTATATAAGGTACTTTGAGTTGCTTCAGTGTCATTATTTCCAGGCTTGAAAGAATTGTCTTTGCTTTTGCTTTTCATCTTTTAATTTCTGCGATACAACCTTTCCTGCTTCTCCCTCTAATTTAAAATATTTTTATTCCTTGAGTGTTGTAATGCTGATGCACATTGAATTTCTTTAATGTTGATATTGCAGTATCACAAAGCAAGCAAATCATCTTATCTTTAGCAGAAACAAGATAACATTGTAATTCCAAATTCTCATTTAAAAATCTATTTTATTCCTTCAATGTTCTTTTGATCTTCTTTGACATTATGGGTTGCCAAGCAGACAGAATTAAAAAATACCATCAAGCTGTGCAACTATTCACAAATTCCACTTCAAACAGAAACACAGTGCACCGCTGTCAAAAGCTGATAACAGACTGGCATACTTGACCCTCATAAATTCTCGCCAGTCAGCCTTGTGTGGTAGTGGCGTCAGTCAGGCAGGGAAAATTAGAGCTAAATCACGAGCTTCGCTGCGGTCAATTTAGCCCTTAGGGTTCGGGAATATTCTAATTGTGCTGGTCAATGTGGAAGGATTGTTTCATTGAAACTTATTTTATTCTTTGGTATTTTAAGTACATTCATTTTAAAATATAATAAAAATATAGAAGATGAATAAAAATGTATTAATAAAAATAAAAAGATTGTTTTTCTGTAAAATTTGGATTCAGTCAAAAGGCTGCACTTAAGGAAGGACCTAGAAGAAGGTCATATATGGCCTTAAGGCCACGGGTTCTCCAACCCTGCATTAGCGTATATTGCAACTAGATTTACTAGAAGCATTTGGTCATCAGAAATAGTATATATTTACAAGATGGCATTTGTGGGTGGACCTGGAAATTCCTATTTGGATCAAATTCTGGTGTAAAAGAACAATTCAAGTTCCAAAATACCCACTTAGAAATGACTTTTTTTTTTTTTTTTTTTTTTAGAGTACCCTGATGTCAGCCTAGCTCACAGCAACCTCAAACTCCTGGGCTTAAGTGATCCTACTTACCTAAATCTCTAGCCACTGAATAATTACAAAAAATAAATCTGGCTGGATGCGGTGGCTCACATCTATAATCCTAGCACTCTTGGAGGCCGAGGGGGGCAGATCGCTTGGAGTCAGGAGTTCAAGACAAGCCTGAGCAAGAGAGAGACCCCGTCTCTACTAAAAATAGAAACAAATTAATTGGCCAACTAAAAATACATAGAAAAAATTAGTTGGGCATGGTGACACATGCCTGTAGTCCCAGCTACTTGGGAGGCTGAGGCAGTAGGATTGCTTGAGCCCAGGAGTTTGAGGTTGCTGTGAGCTAGGCTGACACCACGGCACTCTAGCCAGGGGCAACAGAGTGAGACTCTGTCTCAATTAAAAAAGAAATTAAAAAAACAAAAAATAAATCCATCAGGGCATTCTATTTAATCTTCAAAAACTTCTGATTTAAATTCCTTTATAATTTAAGTGCTTATGGAAATTCAGTGAATTTATATTTAGAAATACAGTCGTTTTTAAAAATAAATGAATCAGGGAAATTGTAATTATTCACATTATCTAGATGAATACTTTTTATTTTACATTATTTTGTAAATATATTTGGTATTTGGCATTTTATTTTTGGAAAAGAAAGTTTTATGTGAATCTGCTTTGGACCATTGGGTTTGAAATAACAAAAACAAATTAATGTGTAATAAACTCAGCATTAAGATGGCTCCATGACATGGACCCTGGAGCAAATCGTAGCGCTGCTCATCCTTACACATCAATAAAGACTCTATTTCCAGACACAGTGACATGTACTGGGTTGGAGACTATTTTCATCTCAATGTTAAAGAATGTCACTTTTATTAAAAGTCTCGTAGAGGTCTGATGCCATTTGCTGATTGAATTTGAAAGTCAAGCCCGACGCGACGTCCCGTCTCACGCACCACGTGGTGGGGTTGGGCGGCCACAGGTCCGACCGGGCTCCAGGTGCACGGGAAGCGCGGGGAGTTGCCCAGCGCTCTGGGTCCCGGACGGAACCTCGAGGGTGCCGTGAGCAGTAGCCACAGCGCGGCTTCAGAGTTTGCCACAGAGTCCGACCCATGGTACTTCCCCGATCGAAGGTGAACTCCGAAACAGCTTAGCAGCAGCCTCGGATCCCCGTGAAGAGCTGGAACAGAGCGGTTCCGGGCGGCCCGGCGCCTGCGCCGCTGGTGCTAGCCCACACTCCCACCGCGCTTCGCTTTTTCTATGAGGTTAGACGTATTTTAAGGTGATTAAAATATTGGAATGTACCTCTGAGAAAACCACCAGAGAATTAGGTGAAGAGAGTATCCCTAAAGAAGACGGAAGGTGACTCTCTGTGGAGAAAAGGAGAAGGGGTTCTACATGTACACGTGTGTGTGCATGCGTGTGTGCACTACATGTACACCGTGGCAGGCGTGGGGGGCGGGCGTTGTTTGGAGGGTGTGAAGGGTGAGGCAAGGAGATTATGCCAAGAAAAATCAAATTTCCTTCCTCTTTATGAAATAGAGGGTATTTTGTATGTGGACAGGATTTGTTTGTTTATTTGTATTTTTTCTTTACTCAAAACACACTCAAACTATCAGGAATTTCCAGAGACTAGGAAGTAAAACATTCAGAAGGTGACTTCAGTGGCAAGAGAGCCATCACAATGAATTGGAAAGGGATGAGTAAAGGTAAGGGGAGGGGTGATTTGCTTATGTCAGGTACCAACCGGGGTGCTAATATCAATTTTGTGTTTTTAAAATTAAGATTGCTGATATAATTCTGTGCTAGTGTAATGTTGTCAAAGTATGTGCAGCAAGAGTGATGTGTGGCAGATCCTGTTATTTCTCTACCCAATATCCTTTCCCTTCGTCATTGCCTACAGAACTCCTCCTTTGTTTGGGGCCATGGTGTGAAAAACACTTTTTTCACTCCCCCTGCAGCCAGGCGTGGCGACATGCCATGGTCTGACCTGAGATGTAAGTGGGAGCCTGCTGGGAGTGCTTTGGGGAGCTTTTGCTTTCTTGGTTGCAGAGAACAGGAGTGGCTGTTGCCCTTTTCTCACTGTTCTAGCCTTGATCACGATGTCTGGAGCTGCAGCGTCTGTCATCAGGAGTCAACCACAAGGATCCATGGCTCCAAAGCCTGCAGCCAGGAAGGCTTTGTGGAGCAGCAAGAGAGCCAAGCGTGGACACCTACCCCTGGACTTCTTGTTTTGTGAGAAAAGTAAACTACTTTTGGCTTAAGTTGCTATCAGTAGAGTTCTCTGACACTTGTAATCAAATGCATTTCTAACCAATACTATTGACGGATTTTGTGTAGTGCTATTTCCTTCTCTTTTTGTAAAGAAATTGAAATGTATTGAGATATAAGTAACATGCCATAAAATTCACCTGTCTAAAGTGTGCAGTTCAATGCATTTTTAGATATATTCATAGGGCTGTGCAATCATCACCACAATCTAATTTTAGAATTTTTTTCTCCTCCTAAAAGAAACCCCTTATCTATGAGTAGGCATTCCCTACCTCCCATCCCCTCTTCTCCCCACACCCTTGAGCCTTAGGCAACACCACAGGTTTACTTTCTGTTTATATACATTTGCATTTTTTTTTTTTAGAGACTGGGTCTCATGCTGTTGCCCAGACTGAAGTGCAGTTGCACCATCATAGTTTATTGTAACCTCCAACTCTTGGATTCAAGCAATCCTCCCAGCTCAGCCTCCTGAGCGGCTGGGACTCTATGTGTGCACTATCATGCCCTGCCAATTTAAAAAAAAAAAAATTTTCACACAGATGGGGTCTTGCTATGTTGCCCAGGCTGATCTGGAACTCCTGGCCTCAAGTGATCCTCCTGCCTTGGCCTCCCAAAGTGCTGAATTATAGGCATGAGCTACCATGTCTCACTTAGATTTGCAAATTCTACACATTTCAAACAAATGGAATAATATAATATGTGGCCTTTTGTGTCTAGCTTCTTTTATTTAGCATACTATTTTCAAGGTTCATACATGTTGTAGCATGTATTAGGAATTGATTCTCTTTTATGAGAATAATATTCCATTGTATGAATTTACAACATTTTGGTTATCCATTCATCAGTTTGTGGATGTGGGAGTTGTTTCCACTTCTTGGCTATTATGAATAACGCCACTATGAACATTCGTGAACAATGTTTTTATGTAGACACATGTTTTCACATCTCTGGTGTATATACATAGGAGTAGAGTTGCTGGGTTATATAGTGACATTTTGAGGAACTACCAAACTATTTTCCAAAGCAGAGGCATATTTAACATTCCTATCAACAATACATGAAGGTTCTAATTTCTCCACATCTTCACCAATACTTGATATGATCTGTCTTTTGGATGATAGTCATTGTAGTTGGTATGGAGTTGTATCTCATTGTGGTTTTGATTGTAATTCCCTAATAACTGATGTATCGAGCATCTTTTCATGTACTTATTAGCCATTTGTATATCTTCTTTGGGTAAATGTATATTCAAATCCTTTACCCATTTTTTATTTGGGTTGTCTTTTATTATTAAGTTGTAAGAGTAGAACTATTTGTCATCACCTAAACAGTAACTATTTCTAAAACATAATATACATTAAACAAAGGCGGGTATTTGTTAAATTGTAATTTTGATGCTTTTAGATCAGTCATCAGTGCCATAGGCATTACATTTTTATTAATATAAAGGAATAACAATTGACTAGTATTAGCATTTACTTATAAACACATTTAATCTTAAATCTCTTATTAAATCTTACTACTAATATTCTCAGTTTAACTCTTGACCAGGTAGAATCAGATTGCCTTGGTTATTTCTGGACATGTGTAGGGTTGCTTGGCTATCCCAGTCAGTGCCCCAAATGTTAAACACCTTAGTTTTAATTAATTAGAGCCTTAGTATTAATTACCGTAATGAAATAATCTTATCAAGGCCTGTAGTCTTTGACTTTCAAGAAAGGCCTTTGAACGTCTGACCTTCACCTTCACTAAGAGTCAGAAACTACTAGTAAAACACTAATTTACTCCAAATACTTGAAGTTACTCATTAACCATATCCCATAGCCATGCCACAGGTTTAAGCCTCCGTTCTCTAGAGGTGGGATTATTTTCCTCATCAGAGTTTAGGGCTAGGACAATCCATGGAAACATAGCAGACAAGTTTTAAAAATATATATAATTAGGACAAATTCAGTTCTTGGTTTCCCACTCGGCTTTATTTCGCATTCTGCTCTGAGGCTGTTTCAGACATCTGTTCTCCCTGAACTCTTCCTTCCGTTTGCCACGTCATTCCGTAGGCAGCCTTGCCTTCTACCTCACTGTGAAGACAGGAGCTGTCAGATAGGCGCTCCCTCCACTTCCTGCCACCCGCATAGAAAAACTCAGCTGCACCTGCCTCCGTGCATTCCTGGTCCCTGTGTCCCGTGGCAGAGGCGTTTCTCTGCCAGGGCAGGGCTCCTCGTGCATTCCTGGTCCCAGTGTCCCTGTGGCAGAGGCGTTTCTCTGCCAGGGCAGGGCTCCTCGTGCATTCCTGGTCCCAGTGTCCCTGTGGCAGAGGCGTTTCTCTGCCAGGGCAGGGCTCCTCCCTGAGCTTCACCGCGCATCCACCCCGCCCCCTCACTGACCTCACCAGCAGTTTCCCCGCCGCCCCTATTTGTAGCCTCTCTTGTTCTCCTGACACCTTCCCACTAAACCTTAAAAGTACTCGTTTATTCCATCTTACAAAGATAAAGCAAAACAGCACCTCTCTGAGCACCCATGACTTCCTCTAATTGCAAACCTAGAACTTTCTTTCCCTCATGGTCCAATGCCTGTTTCCATTTCTTCATCTCCTTTTCACTCCAGCAAACTGTTGCATGTTTACAATTTTTGTTGATGGTATATTGAAATAAAATTGACAGACATGTAGGAGATATTAGAGAAAAGAAGGGGGAAAGACATTCTAGGCAAAGAGAATCAACAGTGAGTACAAAGGCCTAGAGTTGGAACCACACGTAGTTCAGTTCACTGGGTTGTAAACAGCAAGGGGAGGAACACATAGAAATGAGGCTGGTGAGGGAAGCAGAGCCCAGATAACGAAGGGCCTTGTAGCGTGGGTGGACCTACGTCCTGGGCTCAGTGGCAAGTCAGGGGGGTTGGAAAAGGGAAGTAACCTGATCAGACCTGAGTTTTACAGAGATCCCTCTGCACACAGTGTGAAGGTGTGGAGGATAGCTTAGAAGGAGCAAGATGAGGGGACATGGAGATAAAACACTGCTATGGTGATCCACAAGAGAGATGATTTTTTTCTGAATTAGAGTAATGGCAGTGGAGATGAAAGGATGTGGACAGATTTGGGAGATGCATAGAAGGTACATCTACCAAGATTTGGTGACCGATCAGAGAGAGGAAAGGTGCAAGTGAGACTGGGTGGAGGAAGGGATGGTACAGTGTTATGAAATGGGTGATTTAGTGGGTCATGGTGCCTTCTTCAGCACATTAGGCTAAGCATGGAGGATGTCTGAAGTTCCTGTTTGGGTAAGATCCATTTGAAGAATCTCTGGGAAACTTATATGGTGATATTGAGTAGATAGCTGTATACATGGATCTGGTCCTTCAGAAGACAGCTATAAGCTAGGTTAATATGTTGGAAGTCTGAGCATGAGCGAGGATGATAGCACCAAGAAAGAATGTCAAGTGAAGAGAAAAGAGTACACAGGAAATGGGAAACATGTATTTGAAAAACAAAGAAAGCAAGTGTTTGCAAAGGTCACTGGCAAGGAGCAGCCAAAAATGTAGAAAGAAAACAAAATTCTGAGGGAAGAAAAAGTTGTCATTAGCGTCAGATGATTCAGAGTGGTACAATAACAAAAGAACTGGCCTGTGTGTATTTGCTCTAACCAAAAGAAGGTTTTTGGTGCTTTTAATGAGAGTGGTTTCAGGGGTATACTCCCATAGTTGGTTAGTTGCAGATCTGAGGTTTGAAGCCAGGTCTTTGTAACTTCAAAACCCTCATATAGAGTGCGTGAGAGGGAACGTCTCATTGTACCTGACTTTCAGATTCAATCAGCAAATGTCATCAGACCTTTAAGAGACTTTTAATAAAAGTAATATTCTTTAATATTGAGATGAAAATAGTTTCCAAACCAGTAAATGTCATTATGTCTGGAAATAAAATCTTTATTGATGTATAAGGATGAGTAATGCTACAATTTGTTTTGGGGTCCATGTCATGCAGCCATCTTTTTTTATATCTAAATTTTTTTTTCTTTTTTATGTATTTATATTTTTTTGCTAGTCGATTTGGCAGGTGAGTTGTTACACATTCCTTAGCGGATTCCGACTTCCATGGCCACCGTCCTGTTGAATGGAGCCATGTTAACGCTGAGTCCGTCACACATGAATTTCTTTTTGTTGTTTCAAACTCAATGGTCCAAAGCCGATTCACGCAATAGTCTGATGCATCAGGGAAAAGCACAGAGAGTGAGGGAGGACTGTGTTGCCAGAAGAGAGGATATTTGAGCAGAGACCTCAGTGCAGTGAAGACAGATCCACACACACATTCAGGGTAAGACATTTCTGCAGAGGGAACAGAAAATGCAAAGGCCCAAAAATGGAAAAGGGTTTATCACATGGAAGGCAAAGCAAGAGAGCCATAGAACCTTAGGCTTAATTCTTTAGTGAAACCATTCAAAAGTCTCAAAGGATGCAATTTCCAGCCTTTTTGCTTTCTTTTTCAAATTTAAAAAATTTACTTTGTAAAATAGATCCCACACAGAATATGTATAAATACAGTACAGAAATTTTTTTCTTTGAACCATTTCATGGCCCATCACCCCCAGTTTTTTAATGTGTATTTTCTACGAATGAAGATCAGTCCCAGGGACAACAACATTTTAGAAAAATGTTTAGTATTTTCTCAAGAGTTTCATCATTAAATATATTAAATGTATCCAAGAAGAATAGTAATGTTTATTGTATTTACAATAGTCTATATGGATAAATAAATACAATCAAGTAATATGTTAATACCCATGAAAAGTTGGGAGTACAGCATATGTTATACTGTTTTATAGATACTGAATAAATATTTGTTGAATGAATGAATGAATGAAGCACATCTATTTCCTCAGAAAGACTTTATACCATCACATTTTGGGTTCAGGCAATTTAATCTGGATGCAATGCTCTCTCTCTTTTTTTTTATTTGCCAAAGTTAGTTCCCACGGATGTAATGTCTCCGATGTCCTAATTGCAATATCATGTAATTCAGAATTATTATTACATTTTAATTATTTTAGTAAGGAAATAT